TGCAAAAAACCAAGGGCATTTGGAAGCAATCAGCCCTAGGACATGATGGACCTCGAGACCATAAGAATTAGATGGTACCCAACTACCAATGCCAGCCACTCAGGAAAGGATCAAAACTGGAGATCCTGGATAGAATGGGAGGAAAAACATGGAACAAAATCCAAAAATACAATAATAACCAGAATTATCAGTTGGATGGAGTCTGGTGGGCCCCCAATACCCCTGGGATACACTTCGAGCCTGGGCTGGAACTCACTCCCAGGGGCTGGCCCTCAGCCCAACAGTAAATAATATGTGCATGCAGACCACTCAACCCAGGGTGACATACCCACATACTCTGTGGAGATGCATTCCTTGGAACAATCAACCACAGGGCACCAGAGGGGCAACATTCACACAGAAGAAATGCAGGACACACAGGAGTGGATAACTATGATGGGCACAGGGTGGTGGGGGTTACTGGGAGGGGAGGGGGAGCGAGTAGGTTAGGGTTGGGGATGGTAGTTGGGGAGTGAAACCAAATGTACATGAATTGTTGAATGTAAAACAAACTCTGCTCTGTAAATTTACACCTAAAGCACAATAAAAAATAAAAAAAAAAAAAAGACAAAGCTAGAGTGTCCAAACTTAGCAATCTTTTCTCTGAATCACCATTGTATATTGGCTGTTTGGAAAGTAGTAACTTATCTCTTTTACTCATAGGTCTTCTCATCAAGAGAAAATGTACCTAGACAACAAATATAAACACTTTCATATATACTATACTGCATTATCAGTAATAAACATTAATCTATGGGTAGATACAGAGGCAGAGAGGCTGAATGATCAGGTATGACTAGGCAAAAGGGAATATACCCATGATCATATGTAAAGGTGGCAGACAATATTTCTACATACATATGTGTATGTGCTATAAGAATGTCTATATAAATAGAACTAATGGGGACAAAGTTATGATAACTTCTTAGCCACAGCCAACCACCCTGAGGGAGTGAGTTGTTGGACCTGTGGGCTTGGGACCAGTGTCACAGAGGACATCAAGCTCAATTGACATAACATACTAAACAAAAACATTGTTCTACAGCCTACTTTGGTGAGCAACAACTGGGGTCTTAAATACTTGCAAGCAGCCATCTAGATGCAATAATTGGTTTCTCCCCCTCCATAGCAAAGAAGAATGAAGAAAACCAAAGATTTGTGGAAACAATCAGTTCAAGAGACTAGTGAACCATGCTAACCTCAGCCTATATGACCATGAGACCAGAAGCACTAGATGGTGCCCAGCTGCCACTGTCAACCACTCAGAAAGTGATCAGTGCAGGAGATCCAGGATAGGGTGGGATAAAAAGTGGAACAAAACTCAAAATCATTAAAAAAAAAAAAGGCTTACTGGTCTAATAGAGACTCTGGGGAAACCCCAAGACTATGGCCATTAGTCACCTTTAAGACCTGGAATTGAATTTGGTGGCTTCCAGCCAAACAACAGACAGGCATATATGGTGAAGATTTACACAAGGTAGGTACACTCATTAGAACAATCAATCATGAGAGGTCAGAAGGGCAGTATTTGCACAGGGAGATAGCTCAGAGGGTGGGAATGCATAGGAAAGAAGGACACAGGGAAAAGGTAACTACAGGGATGTGATGGGAAGAGAGCTGTTACATTTTGGGGATTGTAATCAGTGCATGAAACAAAATTGTATGAAATGCTGTATGGAAAATGAATTCGCTCTATAAACTTTCACTCAAATCACAATTTGAAATAAGAGAGAGAGAGAAACTGTACCTAAGGAACCAAGCCCAAGGGCTTCATCCACACCTGGACCCAATTTTAATGACAAGATCTTGGGCCTCAAGCTAGTTCTTAATGTGAGAAGAAGGTAAATAATTTGTGATGAGAGGAGTGTCCTAAACACTCCGCCCATCAGGAAACAGGATTTAATTCCCATCCTTTGAATCTGGGTAGGCTTGTGGCTGCTTCAACCAATACAATATGGCAGAAGTGTTACTTCTATGACTTCTCAGGTTAGATTATATAAAGGAACATGCAGCTTCCAGCTGGCACTCTTGGAACATTCTTCTTGAGAAGCTCCCTTATTGGGATACTCCTCTCAGATCTCTGCCATGATGCTGTGAGAAAATTAAGCCACATAGACAGGCTATGTTTAAGTCTCTAGTCAACAGTACCAGATTAACCCAGTCTTCAAGTAACCCCATCCCAAAGGTCAAACATACGATTGAAGAAGCCTCCAGATAATTCCAGCCCCCACCTATTCAAGACTTCCCAGACAAGCCCTCAGCTTTTGATGACTTATCAAGCAGAAACAGGCAATCTCCACAGTGTCCAGTCTGAATCCCTAGCCCACAACATCTGTGAGGATAATAAAATGGTTATTGGTCCATGTTGTTAAGTTTTGAGTAATTTCTTACGCAGCAATAATATGTGTAATACCAACTGAAGGTTGATTTGCTTCTTATTGTCTATGTGCCATTAATTAAAAATAATATCAGTAATAAAATACTTTTCTTAAAACAATACTTTTGTTGATCAAAGTGCTAACACTTTCTGTGGTTGCTATTGAGTTTTAATAGTAGATGTGCAACCAACGAATACCGACTCTACCATGGACTAACAAAAGAACAAACAAATCTGTCTTGGAAGAAGTACAGCCAGAATGTTCCTTAGAAGCAAGGAAGGTGAGACTTGTCTTGTATACTTTGGAAATGTGGAAGTCTCTTACACTGCTGGTGGGACTGTGAAATGGTACAACCTGTGGGAAATGGTATGGTTCTTCCTTAAAAAGTTGGAAATAGAAATACCATATGTTCCAGCAATCCTACTACTAAGTATATATCCTAGAGAAATAAGAGTCATGACATGGATACATGCAAACCCATGTTCATCACAGTATTATTCACAACAGCAAAGTGCCCATCACTAGATGAATGGATAAACTATGGCACATACACACTTGGAATACCATGCGACATTAAAGAACAACAAAGAATCCATGAAATATCTCATAACAGGGATGAACCTGGAGGACACTATGCTGAGTAAAATAAGTCAATCACAAAAAGGCAAACATTGTATGAGACCTCTTTAACAAAAAGTCAAGAAAAAGTTTACACTCAGAAAGAACCATTCTTTGATGGAGCCAGAGATGGGAGAGGAAGAGAAGGTAAATCACTAACTAGAGAGAAGACATGTATTAACTTGGATGAAGGGGAGGGCAGTACAACATGACCAGTAGCAAAGGAAGTCACTGGACAGTACACAAGAGTAAAAAAAATACAGGTGAACACTATTGTACACATAATCCTTCAATAACAGTAATAACAAACAACATCTACAGTACATCCATAAGTAGACGTGCACGTTGAACAGATGTGAGAAGGCAAATGGGACACCACAGGGATATACAGGTTTGGCAGAGGGTATCTCTACACATGGGTTTGTGTGTGCAGTAAATATATCCAAGATATTGTGGAGCATACTGGAGGCAAAGTTCTGAAAACTTCTTGGCTATAATCAAACATTTTGAGAAAATGATTCACTGGGCTTGGAGACTTAGGACCACAGGGGACTACTAGGTCAATATGCCTAACAGTCCACAAAGACAATGTTCTACATCATACTTAGGTAAGTAGCAACTAGGGTCTAAAAAACTTGCAAGCAGCCATCTAAGATGTAACCATTGGTCTCTCAGCTGGTACAAAGACAAGTGAAGAAAACCAAAAACTCAAGGAAACAATTAGTTCAAAGGACTAATGGACCACGTGAACTGTAACCTCCATTACACAGAGATGAGAAGAACTAGATAGTGCCCAGCTATGACTACCAACTGCTCTGATCAGGATCATAATTGAAAGTCCAGACAGAGAGGGAGAAAGAAAAAAGTAGAAAAAAAAAAATCAAAAGCATAAAACAAAACAAAAAACAGAATTACTGGTCTGATGGAGACAAGTGCAACTCCTGAAACTGTGGCCCTTGGGTACCATTCAAGTCCGGACCTGAACCCCTTCCCAGGGATTAACTCTGAGTCAGACAATAGACAGGCCTATAAAGTAAAAACAGCACCAGGGAGGGATGCACTCCTCAATACAATCAACCACAGGAGACTAACAGGGCAGCATTTGCCCAGAACGAAGCTCAGAAGGCAGGAAGGAGCAGAAAAGAACAAATGGGAGCAGGGGACCCAGGCAGGAAGGAGGAAGAGTGCTGTTACACTGAAGGGGTTGCTACCGATGTTGTGACACCAAGTGTGTAAACTGTTGAATGGAAGACTAACATGCTCTGTAAACTTTCACCCAAACTACAGTTTTTTAAAAAAAAATTATAAAGTGTGAGTTGAATCCATGGACATCTTGATTTAAACAACGAATGAATGTTTTTCGATTGTATGAGTTACTTTTTCAAACAAGAAAACAAGCAATATTCTAAACATACAATTTGGTCTACATAAGATGGGTTTAGCTAACAGATAAAAATAAATATTTGTTTTGCAATTAAAAAAAGACTCCTTGGCTAAAGAAAGCATTCAGCTTTACATATAAAGGAACATTTTCTACCTATAGTCAGACTGGGTATCTTTTTTAAGACACATATATTGGACTATTTGCACTCCACTTCGAGAAAGTAAAGATTTTCTCTTTTTTTAGTACAGATACATCCTTTACTAAAGTTAAGTTCCATGTTATTCAATGCTTTACTCAAAGCTTTTTGTAATCAGACTTGTATCTCAGAGTTACAGCGATGCTCTTATTTCAGATTACGCATCAAAAACATTGTGCATAAAATGGGTGAGCAAAAGCAGAAATGGAATACAGAGCGTTTGGCATAGCAACCTTGCATGCTAACTTATTTCTTTTCTCTTTCACAAATACAGGGACATGTACACATTGGGAAACCATGGTCAGAAATGAGGCAGATGTCAAGGAATGAAGTTACGTACAAACACAGCAGTTCATGCCCCACCACACAGATGGTTTGCTCTTACCTTCTTCTGACATATAGCAGATATTTCAGCTGTAAGGGGAAGGTATAAAAAATATCAACAAAGAAAGAGAGCCCATTTTAAACAAGGGCAGCCATGAGAGGGAAATAAAAAACAATTCAGTAAGACAGTATCTGGACATGGCCAAAAAACTTGCGACTTGTCTCATAAATTGACCTCTGCTTATATTGACCTTTATTTTCCTCAAAAAGCACAAAAGTATATAAATATCTCTCTTTCTCTTCTGGTAGTGACTTTAGGATTTATGAGTAATGGGGTTAAAAATACCTATGCACTGCAAATACTTTACCTATTTTTACAAGTAATTCAACTTTCTCAGACTTGACTTAGAAATTAGATCATGTTAAAGCCCAACAACTTTAATCTCATCTCCTCATTTTACAGAAACAAAGCTGAGGGCCATTACGGTTGGATGACTTCCTCATATTGTACTAAGTTATATTAAGTGTCTGAATTCCGCGTTTGCTGCTTTTTCCTTTATCCTATAACACTGATTTGATGTGATATATTCAGTGCTTAACCAAGGGGAAGAAAACGGGAGGTCTGGTAGCGTAGTGCCTAAGGCATGTGACTGCTAACCAGAAGGCTGGCAGTTCAAACCCACCAGCCACTTCCCGGAAGGAAGGTTGGGCAATCTACCTCCATAGAGATATTGCCTTGGAAACGCAAGGAGGGATTGCTATGAGTCGGATCTGAGTCCACGGCAGTGCGTTTAGTTGACAGAACTGCAAAACAAAAGAACTTACTAACTTGGATTACTTAGACTTGAACTATCAATTCACCTCAGTCTTAAATAGTGTAAAACCAGCTGTTGGGTAATTTAAGAGAAGGCAATTTGAAAACCCATGGGTAGATCAGTTAGAACAAAGATGTCAAACTATTGCCTACTTAAGGAATTGACTTTAATAAATGCGTAAGAATTAATTTTCATGATCATACCAATTATTTCCATGAAAATTGATGCCTAAGAATGTTTGAAAATACTTTTTCCATGATTCCGTTAACATTTTGCCTGAAATGGTGTTTAAAAAATGAACTAAAACCTTATCTACAGTATAGTCTATGTTACAAGTTATTAAAAATATCAAAGATAAAATGTCTCCCACTTCCTGTCTGGAAATAAAGGATAAGCAGATCCCAATCAAGGATATTTGCACCTCAGTTTTAAAAGTAATTTTGTGTAATTAATGGTTCACAGTAGGATTATAGTTTATCTTAAATAACCTGAGGTAAGGGTCACATCTCTAGATAAATAAAAAAAGTTATGATCATTTTTCTTCCAAAGATTAGTATCATCTGCAAATGATAACCAGGATTCAGCAACACAGCTGATACTAAAAATGTAGCTTAGAACCTAACTGTGCGCTTTCCCTCAGTGCATTGGAAGTTCACTAACAAGAAGGTCTAATTTAAAGGGAAGAAAAATTACCTTTGCTTCTATAAGCCCAAATATTTCACAGACACTCATACAAATTTTCAACTGTCCCTTTGAAGGATGAATAGGCTGCCCTGTTGCTCCATTTTACAGATGGAGGACACTAACTAAATCGATTTTTCTCTTCAGGTTGGATGACCTCAATATAGAAAGTCAGACTACAAAAAAATAGTCTAATTATTGTTCATCAGAGATCTTAAGTTAAAAAAAAATTCACAGAATTTAGCTAGCATAAATGGGACTTTTTATATGAATTCTTTTCTTATCTACACATATCGAGTTTCTTTTTTGTGCCTGAACTATACTCAGGATGTCCTCAGCCTTTCCTCTGCTTTCCTGGGGCCTCTTCTTTGTCATTTCAGCTCCAGGTAGGGGTTGAAGCACCTGCCTTCCCTGTATGCAGAGGAATGGTCTGTCTGGGACTCACCCACAGCTAGGTCACAGCTTTCAGAACTGGAACAAACTTTAGGACACACTGCAATCTAGTCTTTCCACTGAGATGGTGAGATACAGTTCATTATCATTTTTCTATTGGGATAATTGAGGCTCAGAGCAATTAAGTGATCCCCCCCCCCCAAAAAAAAAAAAAGAAAGAAAAAGAAAAGAAACAGAGCTAGTAACCACGGTGGGAGAAAGGCCCATTCTTCAATTCTCTTCCTGGTGGTACCCTTTCCTCTCTTTCTCACCTGCACATCAACACCTGTTATCTGTACAGAAAGTCCTTTAAGACATATGTCTTAGCAGGACTTTAGTCATATGGGATTCTAAATCCAGCATTTATCTCTTATTCCAGTAGAGATGATACCTCTTTCCTCATGATTAAATGTGTGGGTATAGTAACAGCAAGACATGGCTAAAATGCCTTATGTCATGAATATTTGTAGACTACAATACATTGGATACTGTCTTCATAGAGTAAAACAGTACAAAAAAAGATAAATCAGCCTTGTCATTAGTCATGATTACACATTATTCATCCTTCCTGAAGTAAACCATACCTTGTGGCAGCAGAACATCAATCAACCATTCACTGTGGTCTCTATAAAGAAAAGCAAAATGCACTTTTGAGCTTCATTGAGATGTTGTTAGCCATGAATGTTTATAAGCTGCATGCTATTTCTGAAAGACTTTAATAGAAAGTCAGTGTAATTAAGAGTGCTATCATAACAAGCTTTTTAAAGAGCTAATGCATTCCTGCTAAACTATAAATTATAGACATTTCATCATATTCAGTTATCTTTAAATGATGCTTTCCAGATGTTAATTAAGCGAACCAAAATACTGCATGATCTGTACAAAGCTGAGTGCCAGTCTATGAAACCAATGAGCAAAGAGAGCCCACGTGAATTGTATGCCATGTTTGGAAACCACAGTTTTCTTTTAAATATATTTTTCTCTGTGGCTTTTGAACAGGGCTACGTTGAAATTGGAATTGTTCTACTAAATGTAATTGCTTTCTCTTATCACATGTAGAGAAATATTGTAACTTTTCAAAGCCAAAATCTTCCCAATACAAGTTTTCTGATACATTAACTATCAGACAAACTAATCTTTATAAAAACACAGACCAGTGGGAAACTAGAGCAATGGAACTGATTTAAGTCCAAATGATTGTCTTTATCTTCTCATCCTTGCCCTATTTCCTTTTCTTCAATGACTCTTTTTTTTTTTTTTTTTAGGATTTGGGTGAAGATTTACAGAGTAAATTCACTTTTCATACAGCAGTTCACATATACTTTGTCTCATGTCATTGACCAAAATTTACAATGCAGCAGCTCCCCTCCCACTTCCTCCCCATAGTTACCTCCTCCCAGTGTCCATCCCTTCATACTCTTTGAGAGGCCCATTGTCTGCCAACCCTGTATATGATCTTGGATACACTCTCCATTTAGACATACATAATTGTTTAGCTTGTTCACCCATCTATCCGTCCCTATACCCATGTTTGCTTTCATTGACAACTCAGTCCTTTTCTTCAATGACTCTTATACCTACCCTGCGATCCTCTGACTGCATTCTTCACAGAGGTATAATGGAGGTGGCTTATCACCCAAAGCGACTGACAGGGAAGGGTCTATGCACATCTGAAACACATTGGAAGGACAGCATGAGTGCTCCCGCTCCAATTCCCCACATTCCCTGTATCGTGAGCACAACATTTTAGCAATGACAGATTTTCAAAAGATTTTCAGTGGAATCCATTCAACCTATAATAGTCTTTCCTGTATTGGATCATGAGTCCACACTGGGGGATTTAAATGTGGCCACTGTGGCTCTCCATTTCTCTTGCTATTTGCAAAATTCAAGTAACAAATAGTGTCAAGAAATCTATTCTCATTCCACAAAAACAAAAAATAATCCTGTTCCATAGCTGCTCACACTGGCTGTATATTGCTCATAAGGCAATTCCGTCCCTAAAACAGGAAACAGCGTCATCTCTTTAGGAAAAAAACAAAAACCCAAACTCTCTGCCATCGAGTCGATTCTGACTCATAGCGACCCCCTTTGGGTTTCCAAGGTGGTAAATCTTTACAGAAGTAGATTGCCTAGTCCTTCCGCAGAGTGGCTGGTAGGTTTGGACCACCATAACAGTCAAATGCCTTTAATAAGATGAAAAAATCATAATGCCAAAACACAGATACCAAAATGCTGGCGCAATAGAGAGTTTTGCTTTTTAAGACAGAACTCATTTAGAAAGTTTAGCATTAAATCTAACTTAAGCGGCACACTTTTCCGACTCTGGAGTCTAAATTCTATATCGATCATTCAACGTATCATTTTCATATGGTTGTGTTTTGTTTCTTCCATATAAGATCTGTAATTTGTTTAACTCTACTGTCCCTTGTTCAGTTCTTTATTTTCTATGGCTGGCTTTTCACCAGCCTAAGCACAGAGATGAGCAGTGGTAATTTCACAGTTAATCATAAGATATTTCATATATCTGCATGTTTGGAACCACAGGAAACAAACATGCAATGACTGGGTGACTGTTGTACTCTGCACCCATTTAAATTTCTGATTGACCAAAGTTGTTTTGGATTCTGCTCCCGCCCTTCAAGAAACAATCAGCGCATCGTAGCTGCAACCCTATATTCAGTTAATATGTCTAGTACACAAGTTCTCTGGGAGCTCTGGTGGCACAAGTTCTTCAAGAATGGCACTCTGTCTTTGGTTGTTTTCACAGATTTGAAAGGGAAAACTACCAGACTGGATAACCCAACCAGCCTGCCATTTAAAGTTAAAACCCCAAGGGGTTGCAGTGATTGAGAAAACAAGCTGGAGTTGCTAAATTTAAATAATGATACTACAAACATGTTGTAAACTATGTATTTCCTGATATTAAAGGCCCAGGGTAAAAATTTTCCTTGGATAAATTTCATGTTCCCTTAAATGCAATGAATAAATACTTTTTGGTCTGTTAAATCAGGATCAGCAAACATTTTCTGAAAATGGCCACAGAATAAATATGTTCAGCTTTTAATAAAAAAATAAACAGGTCATCAGTCTCTGTTGCAACTACCCAACTCTGCGATTGTAGCATGAAAGTAGCTATAGACAATATGTAAACCAAGGAGCATGGCTGTGTGCCAATCAAACTTTATTTATAAAATTGGCAGTGGGACAGATTTGGCCCAGTGTGCCATAATTTGCCAATCCCTATGTTAGACAAACATCTGGGCTCCAAAATATTTATAAAGTAGCCTTCAAATAGGACCAACTAAACCAAAAGCAGAGCATAATATAATGAACTACAAATTTTGATATTATTTCATTTTTAGTCCTATCATAACTAAATAAGTCTCTGACCTAAAAATATTTTTTGATGCCTATTATAACAAAAATAAGGAGCTCCAGTAGTATAGTGGTTAAGGCATTTGGCTGCTAATCAAAAGGCGGTGGTTTGAAGTCACCAGCAACTCTGTGGAAAAAAGATGAGGCAGTCTGCTTCTATAAAGATGTACAACCTTGGAAACCCAACGGAGGTTGCTATGAGTCAGAACTGATTCAACGGCAGTGAGTTTGGTTTGGTGTGGTAACAAAAACAGATCATGCTTTCTTGTTTGGCAAATCAGTAGTACCCGAGTGGTACAGCTCACTAACATGGAGGTATTAGTCTTCTTACGGGGATTAATCCATTCCCCCCAAGGCTTTCCCATGTACCCCATCTAGACCTCCTTGTCACTGTTGTTATTTTATCCCTTTACCCTTTCTAATGAGTCAATGATACCTCTACCAGGTAGAGTCTCTTCATTCCACTGAAGAGGAAAAACTCCTAGAATGTTAAAACTATAAAAACTAAACCAAACTCACTGCCGTCAAGTTGGATCTGACTCATAATGTCCCCTGCTTGGGTTTCCAAGGCAGTATCACTACGAAAGTAGATTGCCTAACCTTCCTTCTGAGGAGTGGCTGGTGGGTTTGAACTGCCAGACTTCTGGTTAGCAGTTAAATGCCTTAGGCACTACACCTGAGTCATAAATTAGCTAGTTGGCCTCTGACCCGTTAAGTGACTTAATTAACATGACCAATCAAATTTGTGGCTAAAAATGTCAATTCTGTTCTACTCAGGACAGGTCAGTTCACACTCATATTAATGTGTCCATATCTGGTTATCACATTTTAAAAATAGGTATTTTACTGTTTATAAATATAATCTTTGCCCAAGGTATAACCCAAAACCAAACTGACTGCCACTGAGTCAATTCTGACTCATAATGACCCCCACTGGGTTTCAAAGGCTGTAAATTTTTATGGAAGCAGACTGCCTCAGCTTTTTTTTTTTGTGGAGTGGCTGGTGAGTTCAAACCACTGACCTTTTGGTTAGCAGCCAAATGCCTTAACCACTATACCACCAAAGCTCCTTTGCCCAAAGTATAGGCTTAGGAAAATGAAAAAAGAAAAGTTAAATAATTCATAAACCTTCCATCTAAATGCAATTACTGTTAACATTCTGATACGTATTGTCAGTTTTTTCTACTACAAAAATGAATATATATCTATATCATTTTTAAAAAAATTGATATACTGTACAATTTCATAATTTTCTTTTCACTTAACATTACGTTGTAAGCAGCTGGATGTCAGGTACCCTTGATTTTCCTGTCATATGGTGGTATCAGTACAGACTTGGGGAATGTTCATACAGGCACACCTCAGAAATACTGTGGGTCAGTGCCAAACCACAGCAATAAAGCGAATAACACAATAAAGTGAGTAACACAAATATATTTGCTTCCCAGTGCATATAAAAGTTATGTTTACACACTACTGTGGTCTATTAAGTGTGAAGTAGCATCATGAAAAAATTTGAAATATTGTGAAAATTACCAAGATGTGACACAAAGACATGAGGTGAGCACATGCAGTTGGAAAAGTGACACCAGATGATTTGCTCAACACAGCATTGCCACAAACCTTCAGTTTGTTTAAACACACACACACGTACACTGTCTGCAAAATGCAGTAAGACAAGGTATGCCTGCACTGTAAAGAAAAAATGATACTGGTTCAGACTTACTGTAGTAAAAAGATGGCCCCAACACAGGACTTTTCTGAAAGGTAACGCAGTTACCTTTTCTGAAAGTATAGAGTAAAAATAGAAAAGGAAGCTTTTTAGGAAAACTGGAGCTTAGTAAGAAGGATGCTTTGGCCTATCCTGGAAGGCTGACTATGGAGGACAGCCTGTAAGCAGTGAGGCTAGCCCAGGGGAGGAACAAGTCTTTTCTAGAAGACGCAAAAAACTTACAATTTCTGTGAGTGGGAGATCGGAAAGCATTCCTAATCAGGGTATCAGAGGGCTCCTGGGAATGCAGTGTGACATAAAAACAAGGAAAAACAACTAAAGAAACCGCCAGAAAGGACCTTCTTTCTTTTAATGTCTGAGTGAACCCAAGAGGAGGCTGTAACTCAGGCAAAAAGAACAAAGGAAGGAAATCGAAATTGAAGAGAAAAGCACAGAAGTCTTAGCACTGGGTAGAATTGTGAACCTCATCATGAACTGGCATGTGCTTAGGTTGAAGGTCCTCACTCTGTACAAAGTACCTTTGGATCCCAAAAGTCTACTGAAGCTCAGAAGAAGATGTGCCTCATAGAAAAGGAGAAGCCCACCCTTCCACTGGTGGGTTACCCTCACTGGTTCTTTCTCAACATAAAGTCATTCAATTTGTCTTCATTAGAAGCAGAGTTTATAATAATTCAAGGGTATCCTTTGTTAGTAACATAGCTGGACAATGTTATTATCAGTACTCCTTGGCTATTTTTGGTATGTGGAACATGTTCTTTGTTCCTTTTATATTTCTTATATCTCATTTTACCTTTTCTACAAAATGACAGTATTGTTTTTCTGTTCCTTAGTAATCTGTACAGCATACTTATCTATAGAATAAAGGAGAGAAAAATCCCATGACACCGGGTTCCAAAGAGTACTTGTGAACACTAATAATTTGACCCAACTCCCCTTCTTCAGAAGGGAGCTTTGGTGGCATAGTGCCTAAGGCACTTGACTGCTAACCAGAGGTTGGTGGTTCAAACCTACCAGCCACTCCTCAGAGGAAGGTGGGGCAATCTACTTCTGTAAGGATACTGCCTTGGAAACCCAAGGAAGGGTCACTGTGAGTCAGGTCCGACTCGATGGCACATAACAACAACAACCCTTCTTCAGAATATAAAATTTACCCCTTGAAAATCCAAATAGGAGTCTATCCACACAAAGACACCATGAGTAATTTTGTGGAGGGGTGGGGTGGGGACAGTGATTATTTTTCTTAACTTTCAATACAAAGAGTTAGGGTTATAACAGGACAGAATAAATTTGATTTAGTAGAAAAAGAATGTTCCACAGGAGAAAGATGTGGCAGTTTGATCCCATAAAGACTGCAGCCTTGAAAATCCTATGGGATAGTTTTACTTATAGGATGTCGTGTTTGGTAAAGTAGATGGTCAGTGAAAAAGAGAAAGGCCCTCAGTGAGATGGACTGACACAGGGACTGCAATCAAGGGCGCAAGCCCAGCAATGATTGTGAGGACAGCACAGGACTACCCAGTGCTTCGTCCTGTTATACACGGGGTCACAAGGAGTTGGAAATGACAAAATGGCACCTAATAACAACATAGGGTCACTGCGAGTCAAAATCAACTTGATGTCAATGAGTTTTTGCATTATATAGCATACACATGAAAACAGGAGGAAAGTACGTTTTCCTGAATTTATTAGCCTGTTAAGGACTGTACATGTATTTCCTCAGGCTCATTCTGATAATTAGTTCATTGCTACACATAACTTGGCTGTAACTCATAGCCAAAAATCTTCAGACACCACTTTTCATTGCTCTGTCCTGAACCAATCTGCCAAGCTATAGTCACACTGAACATGGGGGTGTTTCAGATTACTACAGTGACTAAGCCTCATCTTTACAGAGAAGAAGCAATAAAATCTACTCTGTTTCATGCAGCAATTTGCTCCTGACAATCTCACCACTGACAGTACAACATGGCATCAGGTCTAATGAAACCGTACCTTCACAGCTGGTTTGTTAATTGCGTTGTGGCATTCAATGTGCTGGCAGTGGATGGGATTCCAAGCTGCAAAGCAAAGCAGAGCTAATGAATACTTCTCATTAAAATTATTCATGTCCTACTAAAAACACAGAAGATAATTTACTAGTTTTTTCCTAAAGAGAACTTTTATCAGAAGTCGTTTTGGCATATTAATTTTTTTAATCTATATATAATTTAACAATTGGGCAAAGATCTCATACCGTCTATTTCTCATAAAGAGAGACAACGTAATATAAGGTCTTTACACAGGACACATTACGATGACACAGCATTAATATGTTCTCAAAGGTTTTCACATCTCTGGTTTCATTTGATCCTCTCAACAACTCTGATGGGTAGGTACAGCTGATTATTAACCTCATTTCACAGAAGAATACCTTGAAGTTAATTAAGAAAGTTAATTTCTTGCTGTGGTCGGAGAGTTACTAAAAGCAGGCTAGGGGACTAGAATCTATAGTTCTTCATTCTCAAGACCCTGTTCTTTTCGCAATATTGTACTATGCTGTGGAGTCTAGATTTTGGCACCAGGAAGAATTTCGAAGTGATAATAACTGAAAAAGACATAAGGCATTCCCCACCATTCCATTTCCCATGCCACCCTTTCAAATATGGAGACTGGAAAGATGAGTTGCTTGCCCAAATGAAATGCTTCTCTCTCACGCATGGCACATACACTAAACTTCTGCTAGTTTGGTATACACCTTAACTCAGAGAATATGCTCTCTTATACACAGAGAATAAGAACCAAATGACCTGGGATCAATGAAATTAACACCAGTAATCATCATCCAGATAATTATGTAGCCCAAAACTAAATGCCAACAATATTCTGTCATAAAACAGTATTAAAAAAAAAATCACTGCCGTTGAGTCAATTCGACTCATAGCGACCCCTCTTTGGGTTTCCAAGGTTGTATCTCTACAGAAGTAGTTTGCCCAATCTTCCTTCCAAGGAGTGGCTGGTGGGGTTGAACCACCAGCCTTCTGGTTAGCAGTCAAATGCCTTAGACACTACACCACCAGAGCTCCTAAACAGTGTAATAGATAGGCTTATACGTTCAAAGTAGGACAGTTTTGTAAATTGGCATATTCTAATCTTATAGAATAATTTTACATGACTATGATTTGGCTAATGTGCAAGAGTTTACAGATGAAAGGATATTCTTAGTCAAATATCCAATTTTAATGAAAAATTCTTTATTATGAATGATCCAGATCTAATTTATACCACAAAGATTTTATGTAATTTACTACAAGTGCCCAATTTTGAATCTTTACTATTGTTAAACAAGGTATAATACCCCATGTGTCTGATTTGAGATTCAGGAAAATACAGTGAACAGAATCACGAATCCTCAAAAATATACAAGATTACGTATTTT